ATGTGGCACGTGTCATACAAACCCATAAAGTCTGCAATCGTTCCGAAGATCGGCATTTTGTTAACCTCGACACTATTAAAGTAATTCGCCGTACTTTTGATAAGCAAACGCGAGGTCTTTGCTCTGTTCTTTATTGACGGAAAAGCTAACTTTTCGGCGGATTTCGCCTTCTGCAAACGTTATCCATCTCACGTGTAGCCTCTCCTGTTGGACTATGTTCGGAATGAAGCCGATTCCTTCCCTTGTCTTCTTGAATATCGCGATATCTTCCGACTCCTTCCTGTCAGCATTCTGCGATTGATCGTGCAATGTGGTTGTGCAACTGCTGAACTAATTTTTTTATTTGTATGTTCTTTTGAACTGATCTTGTTTAGTTGATGCAAGGTTGGTATAAGTGGTCGTTGTTGTTGTTGTTGCTGCAGTTGTCGCTATTGTTGTGGTTGCTGTTGTTGTTGTCGTCGTCGTTGTTGTTGTTGGGCGGTGGCTGACGTTTTGGCGATTTCACCTTCTCCAAAGCCGTGTTGTTACGAATGGTACCCAATTTTTAATTTATCATGTTTTTAATTAATTTAATTTTTTAAGTCGTTTAAGTATTAGTAGTTTTTAAGTAACTAGTTATTTTTTAAGCAAGTTTTTCTTTAGTCGACTTCGTTCAGCAGCCTTTCTTCTGCCAAAGAAAGAGCTGCTCCTCAGGAAATGATGTTGTTGCTTTATTGTTCATCGATTTTCATACCGTTGGTACATTTTTACAGCATAACAGACCAATTACTTCTTGTTACCTATTGGGTGACGGTCATTTGACGGACGTACATTGCGGTACTTTCGCTACGGCTATTAACGACACGCCATGTCTTGTTTGCTTTAATTCCACATCAGTTACATAAGTGTTTCTCCAATTAAAAAATTTGAACGTTTAACTTTTAACCACATCTTACACTTTTTCCATGGAAGGGCATTATGTGAAATATAACCACAAGATGCTGAGATATGAGCAAAACTGGGAACATCAGTTGGAACTTCGGGCTCGCGATCACGTTATCCGGGGACTCACATGTTATTCGCCACACCAACCGACGCCCTTGCTTTGTCTTTTTCTCGGGCTAGTTTTTTATGCTAACGGTGCTATCAGTAGTTATACGGCAGACAACGGGAATGACTTGGGACCAGAAATCGGGATTGAACTCGCTTAAGCTGAAGCTACATTCAAAAATTTGAATCTTATTCAGTCTATGTTTTTAAGATGTAACTTCATTCAAGGTTCTTCCAGTTGCTGTCCGTAACCCTTATACTCGTTGTTTTACCAGCTCCCCGTGTCTTCTTTTACTGCACATCTCCAGGCAACGAAGGCTTCTGTCTGCATTCCACTTTTTCATTCCAGTTTATTACTATCATATCTTAGATCGCATTCCCAGTATCACCTATTCATTCAAGATGTCAATGATTTCCCATAAATCACCAGTGGTTGCTTGATAAATTAACTTCATCGTCGACCTATACAATGCTTTCCGCCCTTGCTTTCATGTTATCAATTTAGAGTTTTTACCGTCCCAGAAGAGTTGGATACCAATTTCTTGACACTGACAGGATGTCGGACTTTATCAGACCAGGTTGCGGAATTGAACAAAGAACAACTTGTGCATTGCGCGGCACCTATAGCCATTACGCCACATATGCTTCTTAACAAATAAGGCAATGTGCAACTATGTACTATCTCCACTTTCTCCTTATGTGTTAGTATTCTCAACAATCCGCTTGACTTTTGCCCTTCCATTATCGTTCTACAGAAAAAGAGTGTCATTTGTGGCCGAGTACTTTACAAATTGCTGGAAGAAGACATCGGATGCCGTTGCTCAACTCTTATTATTTGATAAAAGTCTGACTTCTTGTGCGGTGGTTACTTTTGGCGTTAGAGGTGTCAGTGGTTAAAGGTGCCTTACAATACACTCGTGGCCATTGGTTTGACCTCGTTTTCTATTGAGTTTCATTCATTCATCAATATAGTCATCCGAATTAGAAGTAGTTCCTTCTAAACACTTTCCATCTTTTGCAATTTTTTCACTTATTGATAGAGACCAACAGCGTAGAGTTTATCTGGGTGAGGAATGTGCTGTCACAGGTCAAAACTTGGGTTACGAAGCGAGATGACTCGGGATTACAAGGCACCTCTCCCTGCAGTTCTCCCTTGGATTTTTCGACCTCATCTGAGGTGCCTCAAGAATTTTGCAATCTTTCTGATATCTGTGGTTTTCAAGAACACAACCAACTATATTATCTTCCAATTCTCTTTTAACCTCTTTTTCCTTAACTCTGACGGTTCTTGGCAGTAACTGACCAATTTTGCCTTGGCGGATTGTTTCCCTGACATTTGTTGCGTGTTGATGTTAATACATTGACAAGCTGTGATCCGTGTGTGGTCTAACCGTTCTCGTTCTTGCTCCATATGAGCCATACGTATCTCATAATGTCTTATTCATTATAGTTTTTTTTTCAGCTATAAATCTCAATCCTTTACTGTTTTCCGCAATGTAATCCGGTTCTCCTATGTACCATGGTGAAGCAAAACTACGTTTATCAGCTTTGAAGGAGAAGTCCATAAAGAGTTACATTATCCTAAGATTAAGTCATGGTAGAGTAAATCAACAAAGTGAACGAATTTTTGAATAGAATGTTTATTTGTGATGATAAGAAAAATACAAAGAGACTCTGTAAAGCGACAAATGTTAAAACAAAGTTAGTAAACGGGTGATTGCTGATGGCAAAAGATCGATAGAAGTAGCTGAGAGACAGGCGAAAAGAAGGACCCGCATGGTGTGGTGGTGAACGTGTTATTCTCCGGAAAGGACAACAGAGCGTTCGTTACCCACCGCAGACACCTGCGGTCCGGAGTTTTGCAAATATCTCAGCATTATAGCAGTTATATTTCACAAATACCCTGCCGTTAAAAAGAATAGGCAGTAAATAAAAAGGTTAAGAAAGTCAGTAGATTCAGTAGACTGTAATTACTAATAGTATTGAAAACAATTGTAGGTTTTTCACGACCTAGAGGTGTTTGATGTTCCGGCTCTCCCTTTCGATTCAGCCCTATTGGAAACATAGTAGAAGCAAAAACCAGGAACTTGTATGAAAGGTTACACTCCAAATAGTTCAAACCCCACTGTCCCTAGAAAAGGACGAGCTATAAGGCTGACTGCGCGATTTTATGCCAAGGTCAAGGCACTCGGTCATCCCCATTCCGTCACGATCGCCCGAACGTGTGCAATTTCCGTAAAATGATGACTCTCAATATGAATCAAGCCGTCTAGGTGTCGATGCGTAAGTGTCATCTTTACATCGGTCTAGAACAAACATATCTCCATGATTTTCCGATGTGGTTCATTGCATTAGTCTGCTATGCTTTACTGAGAAGTGCTGTCAGGTTGAGCGTGAGCGGTTCTCACCGAATAGGTGATTCTATGAATTAGTAAAGCCTTTCGTATGGATCATATCTTTGCGACTGCCTGATTCTCATAGTACCCTAGCCCTGAGAAATCCCTCAAGCAATTCATTAACTTCGACGACCATAGACAAGGGTCCAGGTAATTCTACGGCTCCCAAGAACTACAGTTCCTAGTAGCCTCATCTTCTTCCACAAGGTCTGATAGTCGAACACCATATTTACATGAATTCCCATCGGATTTCTTTGGACTAGCTATTTCTTGAGTTGCTGCCAATGGTTTTGCTGCACACGTCGTTGCGATTTTCCTGCAAGAATCATGAAACTTATATTAGTAACCATTAGAGATTGAACTCCAGCCAAAATACTCGGCTCATATGAAGCCTCTTCGAGAAATGCTCCACTGAGAACGATCAGTCTTGGTACAACTACGAAAACGCCACATCGAGAAGACGAATAACTGTGCATTATCGGCTCGGATCGTCTGCTCTGATGAAGTTGAAGATGTCGAAACGTTGACCGAATAAAAGTTGTGTAACAACCTCGTGTAAGCTCAACAATTTGAACACATATTGATTAGTCATACGGAGGTTAAAAGGAGGTTGGTTTTCAAATAGAACTTATTGTTTGCTTCTACATGCTAAGACGATTTTTTCCCCTGAATCGATTATTGTCACATGGAAAATGGTGATCCGATCCATCCACCATGTGAAGTATTCACTTTCACTTTTCTTTCCTATTCCACTGACAACGTCGTCGACAATAAATTTTTTAGAAAGACTTCGCCCCAAATCACTTCCTATCACCATAAAGCGCTTGCTGCTCGCTGTGATCGGCTGCACAATTTCGAGGGTATGAATCCATGCAACTTGACCTTTTTTGATATGAATGGACAAGGAATGGGTGCTCAAGGTGACAGGACCGTTTTCAATTCGACGTGTGGATGAATATAAATGGGTGCGCGGCACATCGTCGCTGTGATTTCGTAACAAGATCTTTTCTATCAATGATAGTGACCCCGCCATTCAATAAGCGAATATCGTGATCGTCTTGGCTACAGTTTAATGCAGGGCAATGACACAAAACTTGACGTTGTCTAAGACCTCTACACACCTTGAAGCTGTGCTTCACAGCAGTCTGTCTCGGGTTTGTGGTTGTTGAACAGGAGACCGCGTTCATTACGTACCGTGAGCGCGTTGTTTTTGTTCGATTCCAAAGCCGTCAAGTGCCAAGTGAAGTGCTGTCGCTTTTCACCAGTTGTCTCATAGTCGTACATGATAGATGGTGTAGCCCAGTGTGTGGCGATGAGACTAGTTGATTCCGTGCTCGAGCGACTCCGTACTTTTTTTCCTTCGTTTTTGCTTTTACTTTTTATTTTTTTGATTTTTTTCTTGGACTTCTCTAGTAGCCATGATAGTCCTTGCTATCTCTTCGCCATAGACGGTCGTACATCTTTGATAAATCGTTTTGAAATTTTTCTGGTGGCGATTTTGTTCTTTTAGCGTTATAAGTGATGCTCTATAGAAATATGGATGGAAATTGGTACAGATATTTTTTAGAAGTGAAAATGGAAAAGAATTTCCCGATATTTATCGTGGACGCGTTCACAAGAGAACGATTTTGCGGGAATCAAGCAGCTGTCTGCCTAATATCTCGGGTAAACGCATCTATCTTCCTGAGACAAATTTATACAACCGATTCCTTTCTCGTATTTTTGAGAACATTTTAACGATGTTATTCATGGATTCGATTGGTGCATTATTCAGGAGCTTAGAGATGACGAATATCAGAAAATCTCTACTGAGTTCAATTTGTCAGAGACTGCATTTCCACTTCCCATTAACGGTGATTTCAGGACAGGTTGGTTGAAGAAAACTAAAGTTATCTTACCATATCATTCGTTGCATTATGGCAAAACAAAGATAAAGCTTTCGGCGTTGATCAATCCTTAAGGGATGCGTCATGCATTCGTCTTTGTTAAGAATCGCCTGAGGTGATTACACACATATCTGGCCTTTACAATGACTCACCGTGACGTACTGATGTGTCGAGTCAGTGCTGTTATCCTCCCAGACAGATCTGCTACCAATTTGCCATCCCCAATGGGATGGAGAGATTAGTGGGCCAGGTGCGCGATGGGATCGACCCTATGTGTGTGCTGCAGGGCGCCTCCGAGCACTGCGCCACACGAGGCATCACATTGTGGTAAATGTTGTTTACAACGGGTTAGAGAGTGTGCAGCGCAGTGGTTAGGGTTGCTCCGTAAGACACTGGAATGATCGCTGGGTTCGATACCGTGCCCTAGATTCACAAAGACCCCACAACTGCGGGATTGGCAACTTATTAATAGACTTCTCTGAGAGAACAGCAGCACTGATTTGATGGACCGGAAGTCCACCACACGTCATTGTATAGACCGGATGTGTATTCATTCACTCTACGACCTTCGCTGCATTTGAATGCGTGGGACGTTCCTCAGTGATTGGTCAAACCCGTAAGCTTTATATCTTTTTATAACGGCTTCATCAACTGTACATGTGAAGGAACATGGCAGTAAACCACAACTAGTCGCCTTATCTGTTAACCACAATAGTTTTAACAGTTTGCTACAGATAATATAGGGGATAAAAAGAATAAGGCTCTCCGAGTTGACCAATCCCTGAGGAATACGACATGCATTCGACTTCATTACGCATTGTTTGGAGGTGATTGAATGCATTTCTGGCCTTTATGATGACTCGCGATGGCCTACCGATATATCGAGCCAGTGCTGCTATCCTACCAGACAAGTCTGGTACCAATTGGCCGGCCTCGGAGGGAGGGAAGGCTTGGTATGCCTTGGGCGCGGGGATCAATTCTACGTGTGTGTTGCAGGGCGCCTCCGACCATTGCGCCACAAGCGCCTTTACAGATAATATAAGGCAAGAAGATAGATACAAAGCAAAATTCCTTTGTTAGGACTGACTACCATTAAATTAGCCGGTGTTCACTAACAAAGCAGGGAAGTAATGGATGCATTAAAGAGTTCTAAATTAAAATAACTCTTAGCATACACTACTAAACCGATTCTCCAGTAGCTTCACACGGTGGTGTCCTTTCATACAGCATAGTTGTTGATTGATTGTCTATTGAGAGTGACTTATTTTCATGTCGACAATCCATCCTTTGGAGTGAAGCACCACTAGGCTATGTGCTCGGTATTCTAACACCGACCGTCTCGTATAAAGGGACACCACCGAGTGAGATTATTTCATTCGAGCGGTGCTTCACGCAGGAGGATTCAACTTGATGCGACAACGAAGACACATATCGTGAGGAGGAACGGCTTAAGACAATCGCATCGAGTCATCGGACGTGCACAAGTCGAAGACGTCGAAACATCAACCGAATAATAGTTATATAACAGCGTCGTATAAGCTGAACAATACAAAGAAATATACTGACAACTCTTATAGTCACAAAGATGCTGAGACATTTGTAAAATTTCGACCCCAGGTCAAAAAAAAATAGTGGGCGGTAGATAACAGTTTAACATTGCAATTTCGATTAAAGCCTCACCTTAACTGTGTTCAATGCCTATTTGTGCTTTCTGGATCTTTCCCGTTGACGGGTAGTTGCTGTTGCCATCGTTAGGATAAAAAAGCGGACGAGAGACAAAGGCAAAGCAATGTCCTCAGTGGTTCAGTAGGTAATACCTGAACCCCGATCGTAGTTCAATCTGGTCTGTGCTCAAGTTTCGCAAGTATCTCAGCGTAATGGTGATTGTACTTGTTGCGAGAAATAGTGGACAGCAGGTAAAAAGTTAAACTCTTATAATGCCTTAATCCACTACTCTAAAGAGTGATGAAATGTATTCAGCAAGCAGGTTCACGTTACGGTGGTTCACACCCAGTACAGAGGTCGATCTATGCGGTCACGCCACCCTTGCCACTTCACACGTCCTCTTCCATGAAATAGGTAAGTCGCCCGCAGAACATCATAGTTCTTATTTATTTATTTATTTATTGTTTTCCATCAAAATCTCAACAGCTTCTGAAAGTTGTGAATACTCAGCGCTTTTCAGTGTGTTTAAAAATATATTTCTCAAAGTATTTGTTTGGAATTAATACTACGCATTTTGCAAAATGACTTTGAAACTGCGATTATGCGAATATATGGCCAACTCGACTAATTAAATACTAGAGTGAAATACAACCAAGATGATGCTGAGACATTTACAAAACTCTGGACCGCAGGTGTCTGTGGTGGGGAACCAACGCGCTATTACCATTTCCTGGGGCTGACGCTTTACCATCATACCATGCGAGTCTTTAGTTTCGCCTGTCTCTCCGCTAGGTTTCTATCGATCACTACCATCAATAATCACCCGCCAACGGGATTGATCTTGAAGCCCAAACCGGCAATGAACCCTGTTTAGCTGAGGCTGAACTTTAAGCCACAATCTCAACCTTTTTACTTATAGCCTACAAAAATTTTATTTCCTGTAGTAAACAAAAATTTTGCTTACTATAGGCGGTAAATAAAAAGGTGAAGATTGTGATTTCAAGTTCAGCTTCAGCTTAACTGTCTTCATTGCCGATTTGCGACGGGTGATTGTTGATAGCAGTGATCGATAGAAAACTAGCTGAGAAAGAGGCGCATGGCGTGGTGGTGCACACGCTAGCCCCCGGAAAGGGTAATAGTGCGTTCGTTCCCCACCGCAGATACCTGTGGCTCGGAGTTTTGCAAATATCTCAGCATCATCTTGGTTGTATTTCACATGATACCCTGCCGTGAAAAATTATAGTAGACAGCAAATGAGAAGATCAACATTGTAAATACTAGAGTTTTTAACAGTGATTAAAGAACATATTCAGGTAATACATCGTCATTGATTATGTTTACCACCAAGTCCGGAGATCTTATGGTAGAGAAAAAAGAACACGATTTACTCGAGATGAATTTCCCACAGTATACCATCACTAGCATACACTTCCCCGGCACAGAAAACCCCTTGGCGGATATTTTTTCTGAGGTGGGACGCTACTGGATTTTTAGGCTTTCATATTAGTTTGCTCAGTAGAGAATGCTCGTTGTGTAAAGTTAGTTAAGTGCTCCTTAAGGAGTGCCAAAGTAGAGAATGTACGTTTTTTAGCTGAATAAGAAATAGGTTGACGCATTGTGTTGGACAGCTCAGCATAAAATGCTGGACGTCTTACTAATTGCCAGGCGAAGATTTCGTGGGTTGACGCAAAGTGAACTTGAAACCTGAGTTATTAAGCCGCTGTGCATCTATATATTACAACCATAACAAAGTAGCAATGAAGGAAGTGTACATCGTTTATATGAGAGCTTAAGAGTAGCTTCGATGCACCGGTGATTCAGGACGATGAGTGAGTGCTGCTCACAGTTAAAAATAATCTCAGATAGAGTAGCGTGCGCGGGACAAAACAGGTACCTCAGATCACCGAACGGAAGCCGATTCGAGATAGATGCTGCTGTAGTAGGCATAACCATTCCGTCCCAGTATTTTTACGGTTGTGCAGGTATACTACCTACTTGGACACTTGGACATCCCGTCCTCACTGGTTGTGCCCTCTACAGCATATTTTCCATTTTTCGGAGTTTTGCTGGTTTAGCCATTGTGTTTCCCTAGATCCGAGAGGTCAACCTGGCCAAAGTCTGCCTCAGGTGGTCACCACCTCAGCCATTTGCCGTCCTTGTGGAGCAAAAGGAGATTTGCCACCATGCGACTTATTTGATACCAGGACGGTGGTGGATCCTGATATTGGTTTTTTCATAGCCGGGCTTCCTGATGGAAACGCCGGACTCCTTCTCAGCTTGGGAGACCCTGCGGGTGAATCCCTCGCTGTACATAGCAGTCCGACACCCAGGAATACCTCCCGGCCACGATGAGGCGGTAAACCGTTGGGAGGCCAGAAGTGAGGCAAAAACATGAGCCTTCTGCGATGACGCATTTTACAGAAAGGATTTTGACATTGTGGAAGACTACTCGAACAATATGGAAGAAGTATAATAGTGATAAGAAATAGAGAACATCTTGTAGTAGGAAGTGAATAGTCTCCATAGTTTTTCCATAAACGAGTTGTTGAATTGTCTAGGCGTAAGTCCATTGGGTTGTTTACATAGAGCCATAAAGCAGTTTGAATCGTTATAGAGAGGCAATTTTTTTGTGTACTTCTCTACAGTGAACGTGTAGCTCAATGGTTGGATGTACTCTTTCATACCTACCCGTTCCTTAGTTCTATCCCGCGCATCCAGCAAGCCAAGCTCCTCATTCCTCTAGGGGTTCACCATAGGGAAGAATACAACAAGTCTAAAAGGATAACTTGACTTCTTACATCAACGCACTATAGCAGGTTGTTGTACAGGCGAAATATGTATTTCATCACTCTACACCTCTATGGTGCTTAATCCAGTCGAATATATGATCCGTTCCTAAGAGATTCATTTGATGCTTTACTTCTCTCCAGTCAATTTCCCTAGTTGTATGCCACCACTAAGTACGTACCAACAATTTGGCTAGCACAACATTCAGTTATGAAGGATTTTAGTTCGACGCTCCTCCACATGTGGCCGACTTGATCTCAAGCTTTATTCCATCGACGATTAATGTGGAAAGTGTCGCCTATGCAAGCGAAGCGAAAAAGTTAATCATCGTTGTTGATAAGGAAACTACGAAGTACGTTAGATATACTATTCTATAAGAAATTCTTTATTGTAACGCCATCGTTATTTTGGAACTTTGATATAATCGTGAAAGTTTTTATGTCTAGGCGTAAGTCCACCGTCGTCATCATTAATCGTTAGTTTTTCTTACTCTTCTAAGCACAGCAGTTCTTTGAATAATTCCCACACTCTGTAGAGCTCTTCTTCGTCTGTGCACCATCATTTCAAAATGTGAACTGATCCAAAACTGTTCAAAAAACTGCATAACGTATTTTACATCAGAGTGTCTGATCAAATCTCCTAACGGTTTACCTCCTCATCATGATTGGGAGGTGTTCTTAGGTATCGTGGTGCGATGTACAGCGGAGGATTCATCCTCTTGTCAAGGTCTTCCAAGCTGAGAAGGAGTGCGGCCTTTCCATCAGGAAGCCAAGCTAAAAGTAAACTAATACCAGGAACCACCACCGTCTTGGTATCAAAGTCGCATGGTGGCAAATCTCCCTCTGATCCACAAGAACTGCGACTGACTGCCTGTCGTGGTGACGACCTGGGACAGACTTTGGCAGGATGTCCTCGAGATTCCAGGGAACTACAATGGCTAAGCCGGCAAAACTCCGAAAAATGGAGAATATGCTGGGGCATGCACAATCAGCGAGGACGGACCTTCCAAATATCCAACTAAGTGAGTGTCGCATCAAAACACCTAATGCGTCTTTGGCTAGCGTTTTGGCGCCTTCACCTTCTCCAGAGTGGGAGTGAGTTGAGTTGATTATCCACAGCCACTCGTTCTTCCGATGTGGGTCTTCGTGAACGGATCAGTTCGAATCTATTGAAGCAGTGCTAGAATGAAGTAACATCACTCAGCGATGCCTCTTTATACGGGACAGTTATTGATGAACATATCGTCCATTGATAATAACTTATTTTTTCCGGACAATGTATTCTGTCGCAGTCTGTGTTATATTGGTTGGAACCAAGCAAACTGATACTTTGGCATTTCTTGCCGTCCTAGAAGAATCGGAATTGGATAGAAGCAAATTTACTTCCGATCGACAAAGACTAGAAAAGCAGCCGGAGCCACATACGACATCGACTGCCTCCATAAATGACATAAACAAGATAAAAAATCAAATGCGAAAGTGCTGGAACACCCAAGACATAAATCGTTATTAAGTATTTAAATAAGTAAGCAGTACTAGACGAATAAGCCATTGAATCAGCGTAAAGGCCTTCAAGTAAAACATGGAATTTCCTCATTTGATATATCTGTCGTAGCTCCTTTGGATAAAAATTGAAAAGCTAAGAAATGACGTTCTTCAGTGCTACAGTAATATCAGTCGTAAAGAAACGATTACGAAGAAAAGTGCAAATAAATGGTGAACAGAATCCGAATAATACCGAGTTCTATGTAATTGTTTGCTTTTCTCCTCAGATAATCCTCAATGAACGATTTAGGAACTGCCAGACTTCACAATACGCTTGCTAAGTAAGAAAGAGAAAACAAAAGCCCCAGTTATTCTACAAGTTTCAGTTTTGAACTGGCTGAAATCAATGCCAACGACTGCACGAAGATGTTGACGTTTGATCCGAATGGCGATTTCGTTCGCGGTGTCATTGTAACGCTCACACCAGCAAATTCCAGATCACAAGTAATTCACTTGTTCATTTATTTGCTAATGTACCAACAGTCGTGCGCGTGTAGCGCAGTGGTTATGGCCACCCCGCAACACACATGGGTTCGATCCAGCGCCCCAGGCTCAAGAAGTTTCTTGGGTCGGCAGATTGGTACCAGACCTATGTGGCAGGAAAGCAGAACTGAATCGATACATGGTTAGGCCACTGCGACTCATTGTATAGGCCAGCTCTCCACTCAGTCACCTCTGAGGATGCTTAATGAATTCGAGTACACGGTTCATCCCTCAAAGACTGATCAATGCCGAGAGCTTTGTCCTTTTATCCTTAAACCAATAGTCAACTGTTTTTCAAGAGAATTTTAACACAGAGCATTTAAAACACTGGGCTTACCTAGAATACTGAATGCATAAAAGAGCTAAACAGGATGGAAAACACTGCAAGCTCGTTAAATGAAGAATTAGAGCTTTGGATTATAACACAACATTGTAGCTCTGCTGGCACAAGTGAAGCGAGAATGTTGGTGTACGCTCCATAAATGTTAGGAAAAAAATTTTTTTTTGCAGGACCCATATTCCCATCTATTATGCGGATCCTGGAAATTTTGTATCTGACTCGTTTTTTCGCATTGGTCGTCTATGAAGGTCTTCAAATATTTCGTTAAGTTGGTCCGGCTGCTTATTGATACGTCGATAAATTCTGTTCGTGTCGACTTTCTTTAGAATCCTGAGGTAGCCGGGCTGGAGCGTTCCCATTTGGATTGCAGTGAGTGGACTATTCCTAGGCAAGTTTGATATTTCCGACCACAGGTTTACAAGAGGTTTAGTGAGTCCGAAGTGGGATCGAACTCGCACCGCGCTTGTAATGGACGCCATCACTAGTAATGCGCCTTCCCGACCCCTCTGTTAATGAAATGAAAACTAAAGTAGCCACATGTTTAGAGGCCTACCTTGTCCAACTACAGGAATTCTAGAATAGCACCTTTCAGCTACTAATTTTAGCGCACTGAACTGTTTCTTTATAAAGGATAAAAGGATAAAGTTTCCGGAGTTGATCAATTTCTAAGGGTGCACCATGAATTCGTCTTCATTAAGCATCGTTGGAGGAGCGTGAATGCATGTCTGGCATTTACAATGACTCGCAATGGCCTACCGATGTATCGATCCAGTGCTGCTATCGTCCCAGACAAGTCTGACACTAATTTGGCGACCCCAGAGGAATGGAGGGCTTGGTGAGCCATAGGCGCGGGGATCGATTCTACGCGTGTGTTGCAGGGCGCCTCCGACCACTGCTCCAGAAGTGCTTTTTTTTTCGTGTTTTATTGTAGTTCTTTTAATGTGGCAGTCAAGGGAAATATAAGGCGTCATCGCTTAGGTGTTAAAACTATCGTATTTTCAGTGCTTTAATAGGCTCCAGAATTCCGTAGTTATTTTGGAAAATGTGACGATATCGTCTACAAATGAAAGATTCTCTACTGGTAGCGAATAAGTTTTTTTTTGTTTACTATAGGTCTATTATAAAGTATCTGGGTTGACTAGTAAATCTCTGTGGTTTGTAATCGAAAAATTGAGCAGTTGTGTCCGTCAAAAAGTTTAGCTAGGATAGAGCCTTCAGACACGTGCATGCTAACATAGGTTTTCTGGTACGTGGTTCAGATGGTACCATTAGAAGTCACTTATCTCGTGTATCTCGGATGTGTCAGTGATGTCCAAAGTACTTAGCAATTCAACGATTCGATGAGGAAAATACATTTTGCACTCTTCGACTTAGCTCTCATCACAACTAAATTTCAATTCCTCACAGTGATTTGTGTATTGGTAGGTGAGTCTGTTCAAATCCCAGGACGCAGTGATTTGTTAGTAATCACCAGCTGTTGTTATGGAGTATGAACTGGTAAACTTTTAGTGGAAAGTGATCACAATGAAGAAGAGCTGGGCAAGGAAACATGGACTCGGGTGGTTATAAAGCAAACGAAAGTTAGCCCTTGACATGACCTATACCATGCTATTCTTAATATGATGTTTTTACAGGCAAATTGTTCTACATTTTCAGGGATTTAAAAACACCTAAGCCACATTTTCATTCTTTGTTGTTCTGCCATCAGTATTTATACTGACTACTACGTTTACGTATAAGTCCATGTCTTTTATTTAACGCTCAAAATCTTTCAGGGTTTTGTGGATTCGGAGAACGATGCGTATGACTATGTTTGCCGATACTTTGCTCCTTGGGTTGGAATTAACGAGGATCCAGCTACTGGGTCTGCTCAGTGTGCCTTAGCTCCATTTTGGGGAAAAATTTTGAAGATACGCGAGCTATATGGTGATTACTGTCCTTTTTCAATGGCATAGCTATGCATAGCCATTGGTATTCCACGAATGATGTTCGTCTTTTCAGCGTTTCAATCGTTCCCGAATCGAGGAGCACAGTTTAAGCTTTGTTTGGAGGACAACTGCAGATTGTCAATATTTGGTCAATCTGTTACTGTTGTCAAAGGGCAAATTTATTTGAATGAAGCATTATTCTACTGAGATGTCACATTTCATGTGCGGCGAATGAATATTTCTGTTTTCACTGTTCTCAAGTTGATACCAATACAAGAAGAGTTCACGTTTCGGCTATGCTGCCACCGTACGAAAGCTAAAGAGAACTTTATGCTTACCATTGAAAGGTAACGTTCTGGTGCTACTCTCAGATTTAACTGACTATGGGACTCGTTAGTCAAAGAAACTATCGTTGTCTGTGTTTACCTAGATTATTAACCTAGCATGAGGTTGGTAGAGAAATTTTTGTTCGGCTTTTACTAAATTTTCAAACCAACCTCGTGCTAACTAAATAACCTCGGAAAGTAGTGATTGTTCGCTTCGTGGTTTAATGAAAGTCCGTTTTTAAGATAAAACTATCGTCATCTGTTGAACGAAATCCGAACCGAGGTTTGCCATTGTCTGATTTACATCCGTTTGAATAGTATGCATTCTTAAAGCAGATCTCAGGTGCTTTTCTTTCTGTTTGTGAATTTCTATCCGCTAAACCTATGATTCAACATCTACTCAGATTCTAAAAACACCACTTCTTACGAATTTTTTTAGAAACCTAATGTATATAGAGCGTAATGGTAGCACCTTCGTTCATAACCCGGACTGCCCAATCTGTACAAGCTTTTTTTGAACTCATCCTGAGCCCATCAAGGCTCTCATCCTTGCGTGATTAGGAAATTGGTACCAGACTGGTGTGGAACTAGTTCGCTCCCTTAATCCACGTTGGAATGCCCTAGCATGGTTATTTCAGGATTTGAGAGAGAGCTCACTCAACCGACGTTCACTGACAAAGAAAAAATCTTTAGGCAGCAGCTGAACCCACATGCGAAAAGTTCGAAGACTTTCATGGACGAAGGATGTTAGGGAACGATTTGTAAGCAAGTGTTGGGATCTGAAATATATTTACGCCGAGTCTTACAATGTTAGCTAAAAAATGTGTGTATAATGAATTTCCGATATTACGTTTATTCGCAAGATTAGTGCTTTTGTGAAAATAATGCCAATGCCTCGGCTAAGTTTGCAAACGACATAGCAGAGTGTTTAGAGATAGTTGTTTGAAGTCTTTAGACCGAAAAGAAGTTTTTTTTTTTCGTAAAAGAACAAAGTCCTGTTAGTTTTCCGTTAACCAGGTGCTTTCCATTCAGATCGTTAGTATAGCAATAGCTAGTGGAAATTAGGCCTTTGAGTCAGTTCTCGGCACCGAATATTCACTAGCTTGAGTAGAATGCTCGACTTCGCAGGAAGTGGCCACGCGGGACCTTTTCGTAGTTGTTGCAGAGCAATACCTCAAAGTTGAGTGATTAGACCGTTTATAACAATATTAATGCACGAATAATGTCATGTGAACATTTGTACAATACAGGCTGCAATGTGGCAGCATGACCAATAAGTGAGGATAAGGTTGGTTAGTAGCTTTGCTATAGGCTAATGAAAAAATACTACGTGCATGCGGAATAAACCAATGGTGCCACAAGATATAGCTATATAAGACACTAGCCTATAGCAAAGCTACTAATCAGCCTTATCCTCACTTATTGGTCATGTTGCCACAGTGCACATTAAGTGATTCATGTAAGGCCGTAATACCTGAATGACAATAGCAATACGATAGGATCACACACTATATGTAAGGTTGTGATGTCGATCATATGAGATGAACATTTTAAGGGATACATGTAGGACTGTGAGTGCATGCGATGAGGTCGACGTATTAAGGAGCACATGTTAGCTTGTGATAAGATTAACCTAAAATAAACGCATAATAGAGTTAATGTGTCCAGAGCGCATTACAGTAAAGTTAATATACAATAGTGACCAAATGCAATAAGAGTTAACACCTTGGATTATCTACATGGGGTAACCCATAAGATGAACAGTGGCCCTAACGAGAGGAATACAGTTGTGCCTCACGGGACCATTTAAGTATCTTCCGGAGAGGGTGTTTTGGCACAGGTCCAAAACTTTTACCGAAAACATTTGTCGACTTCCGCTTCCAACTCCCTCATGACCAGAACAGATCACGAAAGACGGTTTCCAAAACAATTTCATGCTTTTCGTGTTATTGTACGCATGAAAGCTTCGTACAAAAATAGCACACAAGATGTTTCGATTGTACAAAGAGGTTTGCATAACAAAGGCTGTTTGTGAGAATCAAAGTTTCTAAAAATCAAGTGGAAAGATTGCAAAGTGCTCTGAGGTCATATACAAAGGATAAATGATAAAGCTCATGCCTTTGATCAATCCCTGAGAGATGCGCCACGCCTTCGACTTCATTAAGAGCATCGTTGGTGGTGACTCAATGCATATCTGGCCTTTACAATAACTCGCGGATGTATGAACCAGTGCTGCTATCCTCCCAGACAAGTCTGGTACCAATTTGCCGACGCCGGAGGGATAGGAGGCTTGGTGAGCCACGGGCGCGGGGATCGATCCCATGCGTGTATTGCGGGGCGTCTACAACCACTGCGCCACACGCGTCCAAGGTCATATACAGTCGGTGTAATATCAGTATCATGATAGCCAGCAAGATACTGATATTACACTGACTCCACGAAAATCCATGTTTCAGGAAGAAGAAAAAGATTGGTTTCTGCGCTGCCTTCACAGAGTGTGCTCTTTCCATCGTAATGCAGGGATCAGAGACTAGGTGGATGCTACGTGAACAGGATGAAGGTGTAAGATGAGAGCGCGAAAGCGTTCGAGAACGTGTTATCAAGAGCTTTCAAGAGAAGTAGGTAATATTCTTAGCGAGGTTTTTTCTAAAATTGTCTCGATGCTGCAGAAATGGCGCTAGTCCTTTACGCATGAATAGAGCCGCGTGTTGGGTATTGGTTAGGGGCACCTTGCAGTGCGCATGGGTTCTTCGATCCAGCGCGCCAGACTTAGCACGCCTTCCATCCTTCCCGGTTCGGCAAATTGGTAACAGAACTGTCTGAGAGGATAATAAAACTGACTCCATACATCGGTAGAACACCACGAATCATTATATAAGCCAGATATCCATTCAACCACTGCTAACGATGCTTGATGAAGTCGAAAGCATCACGTATCCATCAAGAATTGATCGACGCTGAGAGCTTTATCACTTTTATCCTTTATTTCGCGAATGTATGCAGAAACGAGTTTCGCCAACTAACTGTTGCTGTGAAGAAGTTTTATGGAAGAGCTCGGATGTTGCGGCACCATACTTGCATATTTTCCTAACACTGAAAAATTGTGAAAAGAATTGAAGTTTTTTCAAGCACTCCCTTAGCCTCGACGACCATAAACTGGAAGGGATGCGGCCATTTGTAGAGTTGAGCAAGAAAATACAGCCTGTGCCTGAACGTCGAGCAAGAGTAATAGCCATATGTTAATTTGAAAGAGTGTTTTCAAATTCACTGGCTTTCTTCAATGAGCAAACACGAATTCGGTGTTATAGCATTTATGAACAGAAAATAGTCTACGCTTCAGCGGTTTCGTCTTCTTCAGACTCTGGAAAGGTCAAATTGACAAGCGATCTCCTCAGTCAAACATTTTCATAACCTTAGCAGGTAAGGTTTAGCACATAAGCTTTCATTTGTATAATAAACATCTTCATTTGTTTATATTGTTGAGCTTACACGAGGTTGACAGAGATGTTTATTCTCCTAACGTTTCGACGTCTTCTTCTTCATCAGATCCGACGATCCTTGTCGATGGTCCACAGTTGTCCCTCTTCTGGATGTGAAGTCTTCGTCTCGCATCGAACCGGATCTTCCTCAGCTGAGCATCTCAAACAACCCATACTCACCCGGCGACGCTCTTTTATATAGGGCAGTTTTTGTTGGTATGATTATCCGCTGATATTGGTTTGATTTTCAACGAATAATCGAACCAGCAGCACAAACATCTTTTTTTGAATGCCCATCGCTTTGTTCACTGCTAGTCTTCTAGTTAACTGGTGGAGATCGGTCACAAACAATAGTACATGGGCGAGCAATGTGCCTGTGTCAGGTCATAGAATCCGCCAGAGGTATAGCGCCAGGTTACGCCTGATCACAAAACACTACTCCTCGCAGTTCATTTTTAGGCTTTTGGGATTAATCTGAAACGTTTCAGGAGTGCAAAGCGCTGATGTTTTGGATTCCTGTGCGTGCGAGGATAGTGAAATTTACTTCGAAATCTTCCCTTTTGTGTCTAGTGAAATTTACTTCATAATCTTCCTCTTTGTGTCTTTGTGTCCTATGCGCCTAGTGGACTATTTAGCTTAACTTTAAGTTTACCAACAAGGTGTTCCTCTATACGGACGTAGAATCGTCTACCCGTTTCGCCATTGCATTCATGCCGCCACACCTTACAAGAGATCAGATAAACCGTATCCGAACTCATGAAATCACCATGTCTACCATTACGGCAAATTATATAATTTTGCGTTGTACATAGACGGTCATATAGGCTGCTGCAAACTATCTAGTCTTAAAGTGGTCCGTGGTACTTCAGTTGCTGTTACCGAATTCTTTAGACTGGTCCTTCTTAATCAAGTTATAGCTTCACTTATTTCGTTTGAAATGAAGGGTAGGATAACCGGGACATTGCTATCGGTGGTGTTATCGTTTCATGGCTTGGATTTTCATCTACACCTATCCCGAGGAGGTGCAGGTTCATAGCCGTTGGAAATGGCTTTGATGCGCCAATTTGAAGGATTCCTTCTCATGTTCTCTTCGTGTACACACGCTTGGCTGCTCGAAACATGTTTACAAGAGCCCTTTTTGTCCATGTGAGGTGAGAGGAGAGGTAATGAACCAGTATGTTTTTAGTACTTTGTTTCCGTACCATTTCATACTGTAGCAGTTTTCGGATAGGTTAGCTTGAAGTTTGAACGTTCAGAAATGGAAGCCTCGCAGAAGGTATAAGAGGATGCATAAGGAGTTCGATGATAGCTTGCATAGCGGTGTCATTCCACACGTTAGTATAAGTGGCGGTAACGTCGAACGACTTCATATCGTACGTGCTATTAGGACACGTGTTACGCA